AAAAACTGTTTATTTCATCTTTATAAACTCACTGTGAAATTATATGCCAATTATGATCTTCCCTTGTTCAAGAACAAAACACAATATCCCCAAACTACCCACGAAGCTAGGCCGTTGGATTTGTAGTCTAGCCCGTTAACCGTAAAGCCAGAGGGCTCTCACATCCTCGGTATTTATACTTTTTTTAACTTTTAATTCCAAGAGGTATCAGTTTTCTTACCAGGCTAGATATCCAACATGGCATATACGTTAAGCTGGTGTAGTACCGCACTTCATATCGATCTACCATACCAGTCGTGAGGAAGATGGCCGCCATCGCCAACTGGAAAATTGAAAGGAACTTCATTTTTTTCTTCCCTTACATTTTCATTCCTTTGACCTTAGTTGCGAAAGCGTTTTACTTGGAAAGGCTTGGACTTACGAACAACAATAGCTTGCGATCTTTGTGCAAAATTAGGCAACGAAATTAGGCTGCATGCAGCTGTTGTGCATTGGCCTCTTCTTTTTCCTCATTAAAAAAAAAAAACACTGGATAAGATATTTGCATTTCTTTAATGATAACTTTGAAAAAATGGCGACAATCAGCATTTTCATCAATTTGACCGCACAGCTTGTCTTTTAGTTAGGTTATGTTGAGGAGATTTCTGGGATCACTCCTACTGGCGGAAAAAAAAAATACAGAAAACCCTTCTGAAAATGTCAATATGAACGGCTGAAATATGGACCATAAGTAGACGAATATCGGCTTACATTGTTGTGATAAACATTGTCGTGTTGATTGCTATTTTTTAACCATTAAGTCGCCACGTTAACAACTTCCTTTCGGGTAGTTTCTGATCGATTTATCATACACCGTTGCATCTCGTAAGAATAAACGCGCCACAAATTTGCACTTCATAGGAGACATATAGTCAATCTGCAAAACGTGGCTGACTCATATTACTCCTGAGGGAAATACAAAGCAACACAAGTTCTTATTCCTCCTCAGGTAAGACATGCGAATAAATCGTGGTTGCCCCAAGCATTTCCTGCCTCCACTTGTCCCGTGCCTATAAGTAAATTCACTGTGAAACCAGATACTAATTATTATATACCCTTGTTCAAGAGCAAAACACAATAGGGACCTTAAGATCGAGGTTTTTAGGCATTTCCCGCGAACTGCGAACATCAAGAAGTCACATGACCAGTGCCTTGCCGTCAGGGTTGCAGTTTCAGGTTCACGTTTTATACAGCTGTACCATGCTCTAGAAGTAAGTGATTTACCGCAAGGTTTTTTGCACCCCTAAACATCAAACTTGAGAGGAAAGACTACTTTTAAGAACTCTTTCGCTTATTAATTATCGAATTCTTTTTCATAGAGACGTAATTTTGAAGACGATTTCTC